GTTAACAAACATAATAATAACAAAAATGTACATTGTGGTAAACGAAATAATAATTTGATCTAAGTAAGAAATTTTGTTTTCTTCCCGATTTGAATAATATTTTTGAAATCTACGTATCTGAATTATGGAAAATCCGTTATTGAAACCAAACCAAGTTTTATGAAGTTTAAATTCACAGGCCTACATTATTGCGTCCATTCCTTGATAAATGGCATTGGATATTGTAGTACCTAACATCTTCCCAGGAACGATCCAAGTTTCTATCATTATGGTATTCTTCAGTTAAGGAATAGCTCCTGAGTTCTGGCGATAAAATTAAATATAAATAAAAACATATTAAAGCTTACCTTTTAAGCGAGGATAGTGATATTGCTGAGTTATGTTTATTCAATCTAAGCTTCAGATTATTAACAATTATCAAACTTTTTCGAATTCTTAATTGCTCTTATCGTTTTAAACTGTCACATAAATATGCTGTCTTATATAGGTAGAGAGCACCTAAAGTAGAGCATAGGTACTCCCCCACACAAGATGAGGTGAATTCGAGAGAGCACGAACCTCTAATTAAAATATGTAATATTGAGTTTCAGATACTCAAAAATCAATTTCTACAGAAGATTCAGTATGTTATATTAAAACTTGGGATGTACGAGTAGTAAAATTTGGCTGAATACCGGGTCCGGGTACTAAACTTCGGCCGTGGCCGGGTATCAACAGAGACCGGCTTCTCCCCTCGCCCCCCCCCAAAAAAAAGATAAATAACATACACAGAAATTAGAAACAAAAACAAAATTGACGTTTATTACATTTAACCAAATAATCACGAACAAAACATTCAAGTTTTACTTTCAACTTTCAATGCCTAGCCCTAACTTCTCAAATCCTAACCCATATTGTTCTCAAAATCCCAACCTTCTCCATAAATCCACTTCTCAAGCCATGCCTGTTATTAACCCCTATTGTTCTCTGAAGCTATGACTTTCAGCGGGCAGTCAGTCTTTGTTGCTCAGAACACGTTTTTTTTTGTTTTGTTTTTTTAACTAAACCAATTATTGACTGTAACTTTTAGTACCGCGTAACTTGCCACAAAGATTAGAGCTTAGATTCGGCTGTTTTTAACTTCGACACTCGGCCAGAGCCGAGTATTACCGGGAAGTCCAATACCCGGCCAGCTACCCATGCATCCCTAATTAAAACTATTTTCAATAAGCAAATGATCAAACCATTTAACATCCACAATCAATATAAAGTCCAGATGGGACGTTATGCACACAATAATAAAGGTAAATTATAAGAAAACCTACGTTACAAGTTATAACGCTTATTCTGTGTTTGATTCAGGACTTCAAACACAGAACGGAAGTCATATACGCAACATCCTACTTAGACCGAACGAGGATAAATGGTAATAAAAAAGTATATGCTACCATGTTGGCAAAAAAAGTACATGCTACCATGTTAGCACAGTACGTTCGCTCTGTGGTAAAAAAAAAGATTAATTCCAGAAAAAAAATTATTTCTTTATTTAATTATGAATATCGTTGGTCAGGTACATTATGAGCACTGGTTATACGTCAGGTAAAAATACTGCCGTATTAGAAATACAGGTTCTTAACATGGATCAGTCATTTCTTCTTAAAATTTCTGCCAGAAAATATTGATTATTTTGAAATGACATTTAGCTAGGGCACGAAAAACCATTAGCAACACATATTAGGGGTTACAGATTAACGTCAAGTTATAATTAAATTTTGTAATTGTGTGGTATAAATAAGTCAAACCCTTAACGTTATATTACCACGCTGTATTGTATGCCGTTTACTCCCGCTTACTACCGGTAATGGGCTCACATATTTCACGATATTGAGTATTGGGCAACATTTCTTTTTCCCCTGTCACAACGCACAGTGTAATAATTAACCAAAATAATTAGTTGAAACCACTACCATTTTATGTAAGATACATAGGAAACCCAAGTGGAATTAAGTGCGATATTAACTGCATCCCCTCTCCCCCATACATTCTCATAGCACCATGAAATCCATAAATCCACATACAAGTTGGTGTATAAATAGTTTAGTAAAATCCGATGGGGGATCATACGGACTCAATGGTAATTCTACGATTACAGTTTACAAGTTCTTTTTTTTTTGCGATTGAATATTATAGTCCGTGAATTTATTCAATGTCTACATGGATATCATATTTTAGGCCTACAGAGTCAGCTTCTCATATTTTTAAAACAATTGCGTTATATAAATACCTTCAAGATCGTTTTATTGCCCATTGTTGGTATTCATGACTAAATAGTAGTGTAACATGAAACCCCAAGCACGAGGGATGTTTGCTTGGCAGTAAAGCAATTACGATGTTTAAATGTTACATAATTATTTTAGTAAATATTTTCAAAACTAAAAACGAATCAAAGTAGCTTCAGCATTGAACCGTGAATTTAATTTTCATATTGGTCGTTGGTTTCATCTGTTACAGATTGGATATGATTTTGAAAATAGAGTTTTAAACTTTTAAGAGGATCGTAGAATTAAGGGTATTAACTAATATTATAAAACAGGGTCGGTTCTCTCCTCCCACAAACATGGCGAATTTGGAGGAGTAAAGCTGCGGTTAGGAAATTAATGGCTTATATTTTATGACTTATAATACATATAATTATAATCATGTTAAGTGATGGGTGTTATATTCAGTAAGATAATGAGTATTATTTATCTGTGTAATGCCTGCCTTGTTTGAAATGAAATTCGAACAGATGTTTGTCTGTGTGTGAGGACGGTGAACAACGTCTATTGGACGTCTTGTTTACAGTGGTCACGGATGAATTACAGTCACGTGGTAAAATTTACCGACACAGACACTTTTATCGATCCTGATCTGCTGAAAACTAAAGCTTTATCTAAGCTACAAGCTGCAATGCAGAAATGTAAGGAGGTGGATAAAATATTTCGAAGGGAAATGTGAAATAGGATGTAGAATCTGAAAGTTGTGTTCAGTTAAGTCATTGTTATCTGCGATATTCTGATGTTCAAGAAGGGTGATAAAAGCTGAGACAAAGAAAGGAAACTGAGGTTAGCCCATTTATGTACTACTGACGTGAATATGGTAGAACTCACATATTCATACTGCTGAATTTGGTGAAGTATAGTTAGCTAATACTGCTGTATTCAAATACGCTAACTGTTATGGATATAAAATAGTTGAGTGAACCTCTTAAATCATCGTAAAAGCTCTGAACTCTACATGTGGTGTTGCCAGGGAAACAGACCTACAATACAACAACAACAAGTTCCACGATAAAATCACAGAAATAACTTAATTGCGTCTCTGTAGTCTAAATACAGAATCATCCAATTACGATTTTGATTTCCAAATCACGGTAATAAAAAGAAATTTCTGTAAAAGCTTTAAAACTACGGAGAATTTCCAGTAGGTGGGTTTAGTCTCTTTGAGTTCTGAAATCGCATGTAATAACCCTTGAGAGTGAGTATGTTTGAAAAAACACTACTGTTCAGATTAGTATTACATATTCTACGTTTACTGGTTTCTGAAGACGTCAAACCTTAGTTTCCGTTCTTTAAAATAGTTAGGAGTTTGCAAATATTTTTTTTTTTGACGACGTATCTGACGCAGCTGTCTGGAAGTTTAGATTAGTTAATGGAGAAACGTTATGTTGAATTTCACCATAGTGAAGCTGAAAATATAAACTAGGAGAGAATATTCCGAAGAGACTCACTACATTTATCTCTTGTATTTCTTACGCTTTAAAACTATTTTTGTCTTATATTGTCTTACAGTTTGAGGAGCAATGTATTTGAAAATAACTATCGTACACTTTACAAACATTTGTGGGTCCATTTCGGTTAACCACTATAAACACATAGAAATGTACTAAAATTTTAAATATAGTTACTTAAATCACCCAGTTGCTGTCCTATTTATGACGTATTTATAAAACCACCAATTATAAAGATATTTACATAAGTGAAATAATGAGCACGAGTTAACGTGGAGGAATATATAGTATTTAAATGCCACATTAGAAAACGTTTCTGATCTGGTATATTTCACAGCAACACGTAGTAACAGGAATCAAAAACAACGGTAATTCATTTATTATTTCACTATATTATTCTAACATAATAAAAAGAGTTAAATAAACCTGTATACAAAAAAAATGCTACAAAAAGTATATTATACTTATAATTTTCAAAAATATTTCGTAGCAATGTCGTGGACTTAGACGTTACATTCCATTTTAAACACGTCTAAGTAATATCGTGCTGGCGTACATACAACTCTTCATAATATATTTAGATACCCTTGATGTTTGTTTTTTGTTTTTGTAATTAAGCACAAAGCTACACGATGGGCTATGTGTGCTCTGCCCACCACGGGTATCGAAACCCGGATTCTAGCGTTGAAAAATCGCAGAAAATACTGCTGTGCCACTGGGGGGGGGGGGCAGATATCCTTGAAAATAAGCTCCATACGATATCTTGAACCAGTTTTAAACCTATCCGAATATTGTCTTTTTTGTTGCATGAAATATAATGGTTATAATTACATTACGTGCCACTCCAAACACTACTCAAATACCAGTAAACGCTCCAGTTTCTAAGGTAAAATATACTTGTACTAAATGTTCAAAATATAAATACTATCTTCCAGTTTTCCAAAAGTACTGAGCTGTTTTTTGTTACGTATCAAATACTTAGATCTGCATCGTTTAAAGTGCTATAGCAACTGTAATTTTATTATCGCTTTCGAACTTTAAATGTTTGAAGCAAGGAAAAGCGTTTTAAAGATTAAGTCTAATGTACAAAAACCATATAAAGCTAGGACTAGTAGAACAAACAAAAAAGGTTTCATATACACAAGCTCTTGACGAGCACGAGAACGAACCTGTTTTAACAGTAAGGGAATTTCTATCTACACATATATTAATGGGCGTAAGCAAATGGCTTCATTTTTGTCAGTGTACATGGTAATATAATATAGATGTTTTCTTTTAATCCGCTGATTACAAAAGTTGATTACGAAAAAAAAAAAGAGAAAATGGTAGTAGGGTTTCGTTATGAATACAGATATATATAATAAAACTGAGTTTGATTTAGTAAAATTTCATATTTAGTAGAGAAGATGTTTCAAAATAAGCCAGTTAGTACGATAATAAAATAATAATCAGAACAGGTCAGATTTCTTATAGTACTTTTTTTAGCTTAGAGGAAGAACATAAAATGACTTAGAAGAAAGATAAGATTGAACATTGTTAGTAGAAAGGCACAGGAAAATCTCTTCTTTTTACATTAGGAGTAATAGTTTCTGTATCTCGAACAGTTGTCCTAACACGCCTGAAGGATGGTTAAGTGCTACGGTTTTCAACCTGAACCTCTCTCTATAGGTCTTGATGTGTCTATTTCAACTTTGTTTTTCAAGCGCCGTGGGAGCTCGTCATAGACGGGAGGAGGTACAGCTTCTGCACAAAAGAATACAAAAACATATGCGGTAATAAGTTTTTCGGTGACTAAATATAAGTATGCGCTAAATAAGTAAGTAAAAACGGTAAGTTTCAATGTGAATAGAGATAGAACAGGAGTAGAGTCTCAGCAATAAATTCCACTGTATGAACAGGGAAAGAATATACAATACCAAGAACAATAAACAATAAGGTTTGTGGCGGATGAAACAAATTCAAACACGACAAACAAGGGAGAAATTCGCTCACAAAATACTTGATGAATAGATAAAAATAAAACACGTTACTTTTCAGCTGTATTTCAGCTGCAATTACCCAAAATAGATAAAAAGAAATTGAAAATTAGATAGTACTTTGCCTAGTTAAAGTTCAGAATAGTGACAACTTGGATATTTCTACTACTACTTATTAATACATTGACCTAACTTTACTTAAGACGATAGGAACTATTATTCTGGAAAATAGTGTCAGTTTTTGTCACCTCTAGACGTAGTTAGTTTGCAAAAGGCGTTAAATTTCCTTGTAGACTATGAAAATTCAATGTCTTTCGCTTTTGATAAATATCAAAAGATGAAGGTATTTAATCTTTATAAAAGTGGTTTGATCCAGAAAAAAGAAGTCGACATAAAATTATTTATGTCTGCGAATATCGGTTGAGGAACTTAACAGTGTGCTCAGCACACAGCAATGTTCTGACAAAAAATAATCGCTAATTGCAGTTTGACAATAAAATATTAATTTCCCCTCTTACCGTTACACCTGTAGATCAGATCCGACCAAATAATTCCTTCTTGGGAGAAACAGAAAACTCCAAGACGTCCTCCCTTCAGAGTATTATCAAATATATTCCCCGAGTCTGCAACCATATGCTCACCTTCAAATACCCTAAGTCTGAAACCAAGTATAACGTAAGATATATTATTATACAGAATGAATATATATTTGCTATTTCTGATTCCAGAACACTTGAATATAAACTGGTTATTTTTTTAAAGGAACTATCACCGTATTATCTACTATACCTTCGTAAGAGCTTGAATAAAAGATTTTCAAAATATGGAAATTAAATATCCTGTTGTAATATGGAAGCTTGGCCATATAAGTTATACAATTAAATAATGGTTGTGCATTTGCAAGGCATATATATGGCCGGTCCTTTCGAACTATTTTTCCAAGTGATACAAGCGGATGATAACGGTGACCCATTGCCTCTGGACCGGAAGCCACAGAGTCGCGCTTCTCTTGGCCGTATAAGCACTTATTAAAATTTAACTCTCAACAATTTTTGGAAGCTATTGTTTCCTTAGATCAAAGCTACACAGTGTTTTCTACATTCTGTCCATCGTGGGGAATGGAATCCCGGATTTTAATTTACAAGTTCATAAATTTACGCTCACCCACTTGAGAACGTTTTTAGAAGCATGAAACAAAAACGACGATACGATTTAAATATCCTTCAACAAATACTAATTGAACTATACTATTATATAATCCATCACTTTTTCACACGTGTACAATTTTCATAGAATTTATAGACATTGTTATTTTCATCTTTAACTGTTTTGTAATGTCACGTGTCATATTTTCAAACTTAATTTCATTAGATAAAGATAAATAATTTTATTTATTACGTATTTTCGATTACTAATTTTTCTCGTGCTCTAAGTTGTCTGTGGTGTAATTAATAAATATAATGATATACAATCTGATTCTAAAATTCTAAGCACGAATATCTCAAATTAAAACTTATAATATACATTCACCTGGTACTTTTGTTAACTTACCTAATTAGTCCAATGTCTGGTCGATGTAACAAAAGCCATCTATAAGCAACTTTTTCTTTCCAACCCACGTTTCTCGGGTCTTTCCACAAAAGTCGAACCTAATGAAAAGACAGACTCTTTTAGACTAAGTCTTGCTACAATTCTAACTCTTTTGTGTCCTACTATGTCTATAATTCATTGTCGCTAAATAATATTTACTCTTCTTTGCGGATTGTATCAGCTATAACACAGACTAGACATGAACTCCAGGGAATGCGAGATTAAAAAAAAATTCTAATTCATTTTTCCGATCTCTTGTGTTTGCACGGAGTGCACAAACTGAAATTATGATTTTTTTTTCTTTTGTGTAATTTTGAAATAAGTTTTTATTCTTCGAACGACTGAATCTTTTTTTTTCTTTTTTTAAATAATAAACGTGTTATTACAGCTTCATCTAAAGGAAGAGTAAATTCTGTCTTGTATTTGATTAGTTAACTTTCAAGTGAGATATAAAACGTCACTGATTCCATCTTCAGAAGTTTGATTGTCGTTAATCAGTTTTTGTTTCTGACATTCTTCCTTTAAACGAAAGAAATAACTCATGAAATTATTAGTATTTTATTCTTGATGATACAAACTCTTATGAAAATTAAATATGTTATACTAATTCTAGCTTTACTAAATACACTATGGTATAATAAAAATATACTAATATGTTCAGCGTAATTTTTTAAACTCAGCCTGTGATAAAACGGTTCTTTATATACAATATGTTTTTGTGAATGGTAAACGTTTAGAAGTTTCCTGATTGCGAATTTTTGCTAGTTGCTAATCGCAAAGCTGCACAATGGACTACATTTGCTAGGTCCACCACAGAGATCGAGCCCAGAATGTTAGCGCTATAAGCCTTCAAGCTTACCGCTGAGGTGCCAGGGAGGATTGTAATTTCAAGTAATCGATCACCTACGCCTAGTGACAATTACTGCAACGTAGGCGAAAGCTTAGAGAATAAAAAATGTGTAAACGTCGATAATTAATGTGTAATTTGTCTTACTAAAACTCATTACTTTTAAGTTAAAGTATTTTTTCTCATTTCTCACTTGGTTTTACTCAAAGTTCAAAGAGGAGCTTCCAGCGAGTGTAATAATTCTTTGACAGGTATTACTTGAAAACGTATCTTCCTCAGATGGTCAAAAGTCTTCAAGTAACTACTTGGAAGAAAGAAACACTTGAACCAACGTACTTCACGCCCAACAGTGTTTCACCCTAACTTCAACATGCTTCAAAGAATTGATTTAGCTGAAGTTTTCTCATTAGTCGAGTTGCAAAACCTTCGTAAAGATCTAATATAAACTCTTATGGAAAATTATTTCGGAAAGAAAGAACATTTCAAAACAGGGGGCTTAGGATATTGGTTAGATAATGATATTAATTCAATTATAAATTGCAATAGTTGTAGCTCTTACAATATTTTCCCCTTTAGAGATTCTTTCTTTAATTCTTTCTGGCTAAACCCACATACGACCATGATTTAAGACATTTTTGTTGGTTTTCTGCCCCAAGTCACTCAGGTCATAACCAGCCCCAGCTGACAAGAAATAAAAAAGAGTAGTTACACAATTCATTCAGTTTCACACATTGCCAAGTCACTCACGTCATAACCAGCCCCAGCTGACAAAAAAAGAAAAAAAAAGAGTAGTTACACAACTCATTCAGTTTCACACATTGCCCTTTAACTTTATCCGAAAATATTTAACAAGTAAACTGCTTTTTTATCGTCAAATATCTTTCTGAAACAGTCACTTTACACAGATTTATTTTCCCCTTATTGCATGAACTTAGTAAAGGTTAAGGAAGATTTCGTGTACTTGTCACTTTTCATCTTTTCGCCATTTACCCAAGATATGTGGACTTGGTGGAAAAATAAGTGTCGATAACGTATTACATTGAATTTGTGGTTATTAGTTGTTATAACAATAACTGTTTACCCTTTCCATAAAATTTCTTCACGTTTGTCAAAATCTTCATCATAAAACATTTACATATTCATACGTTCGCACAAAACTATATACTTTTTATTTGCCCATCAATGCTAAAAATATTCCTTCACTTAGAGGAACTCGGTATTTGACAATCCATTGTTAAAGTTAATGAGGTTTTTGTATCCGCTGTCCAACTCCATACATCCAACTTTAATAATATATTTAAGTTTTCTTTACCTTATTTAAGGATACAAAAATAACTTCGTTTTTTGTTTTAAATTACTGTAAAACTTAACGTTTTGTTATGTCTTTTAAAGCGAGAAATGAGAATAATATATTATGACGTACGATTTTCATTTGTTACCTGATGTTCCGTATCTCCTGTGTGCCATAAAGAATTTCTCATGAGCTGGCCAGGTCCTGTCTGCGACTTTACTACTTTTAGTTGGATGCCTGGGTCTGCTACGGCTCTAAATGGTGTTGCTTGCCAATAGGTCTGAGTATTTTTCTTCCACATCACAGTGTAAAAATGAGCATTATCCTGGTAACTGTACATTAAAAAAAAACAATACTTCTATCTTTACAAGTTACCAGTGTAAAAATAATTAAAATATAACATGCTACTTGTTAAAGCGTTCAGTTATATTAGGTTTGATTGGGTAAAAATGTATGAATATACCCACGTCACTCACTAAATGGTCAAGTGTGTTTTGTGTGTTTGTAGCAAAGTCGTATCGGGCTATCTTCTGTGTTTACCGAGGGAAATCGAACCCGTGAATTTAGTGTTGTAAATCCGAAAACAGAGGGACAGGGCCAAGTGAAAAAAAGTAAAAAAGAAAATCGTATACTAAACACTGTAGAATACTGAAAATATCATGGAATTCAATTACAAATTTATATGTTGAAAGGCGGATAGTTTTGTCGTTCTTGCTACGATCAATATTTAAAACTCTACATTTCGTCCATCTGTTTGGTGATAGATCATTTTGTATAAAATTAACTTTTGGACATTTTTTATAATATGTGTATGACATTTTACACATTTTAACTGAGAGGCGCGTATATCATACTTTAAACACTGCAGGGCCATGCATGGCCAGGTGGTTAGGGTACTCGACTCGCAAACTGCGGGTCGCGGGTTCGAATCCCCGTCACACCAAACATGCTCGCCCTTTCAGCCGTGGGGGCGTTATAATGTGACAGTCAATCCCAATATTCGTTGGTAAAAGAGTAGCCCAAGAGTTGGCGGTGGGTGGTGATGACTAGCTGCCTTCCCTCTAGTCTTACACTGCTAAATTAGGGACGGCTAGCGCAGATAGCCCTCGTGTAGCTTTGCGCGAAATTCAAAAACAAACAAACAAACAAACACTGCAGGTCAGCACAAAATCAAAGGAAAATAGAATAAAATGTATCCTTTGTATTTAACAGAGTAATTCGAAACGCTTTTCAAATTAAAGATTAAACAAACATTTGAAGCGATTGCACTCAACCTCCAGCCTTTTCAACTCATGGATTAAACAAACAATTTGAAGTGATTGCATTCAACCTCCAGCCTTTTCAACTCATGGATTAAACAAACAATTTGAAGTGATTGCATTCAACCTCCGGCCACTCGCTATTGAAGGCATGAATTAAACAAATAACTATTTGCTCTTCAAATCACCAATTAAATCGACAACTTGATGGCATTCAACCATCACCCATTTGTTATTCAAATTATGGATTAAGCCAACAACTTGAAATAACAGCATTCAATTCTACCAGTCATTCGCTATTGAAACCATGGTTGAAATCAATAGTTTGCTGTGACGACATTCAGCAACCAGTTATTTGCTATTTAAATTAAATATTAAAATCATTAACCATTCGCTATTCAAATCATAAATTAAATCATCAACCATTCGATATTCCAACAACAGCTTTGGATGACAGTATTCAACCACTAGTTATTTACTATTCAAATCATAAATTAAATCAAAAGCTTGATGAGATAACATTAAATTACAAGTCATTCTCTCTTCAATCAACACTTTTTAGTAACGGAGTTCAACCACCATCTATTTGCTATTCAAATTACAGATTAAATCAACAGCTTGAAATGATGGTGATGACATTCAACCAGCCATTTGCAATTCACATCATACTTTATATCAGTGCTTGCGGTGATGACATTCAACCACCAACCATTTATTATTCAAATGGAAAATTAAACAGCTCGATGTGACGGCATTCAATAACTAGATACATGCTATTCGAACCAAGAATTAAATTAACAGCTTTATGTGGTATCATTCAACCAAACACCTATTCGTTATTCAAATCATAAATTACACCAAAACCTGACCCGGCATGAACTGATGTTCAATTCACAACCTGGAAGTTGTGGGTTCTAATTCACTTGCCAAACATGCTCTCCCTTTCAGCCATGGGAGCGTTGTGATATGATGAACAATCTCACTGTTTGATTAGAGTAGCCCAAGAGTTGGCTGTGGGTGGTGTTGAGTAGCCGCCTTCTTTCTTGTCTATCACTTCAAGATTAAGGGCGGCTAACAGAGATAGCCTTCAAGTAGCTTTGTGCGAAATTCAACAAATAAACATTAATAGTTTGATGTGATATCATTCAACCACCAGCCACTTGCTATTTATATATTAACAGAATACGATATTTTGTAGTATGTTTTATAAACTCAAAATATATGTTCATTGGTTAACTGTGTATATCCTACACCTCAAAATCAACAATCTCCCTTCTTGGAAGGATTGAAAAGCTAAAGAATTTTGAAATATTTTACAGCAGATTTATTTCCTGACTTATGTTTTAATTGTTTGTTTGTTTTGGATTTCGCGCAAAGCTACACGAGGGTTATCTGCGCTAGCCGTCCCTAATTTAGCAGTGTAAGGCTAGAGGGAAGGCAGCTAGTCATCACCACCCACCGCCAACTCTTGGGCTAATCTTTTACCAACGAATAGTGGGATTGACCGTCACATTATAATGCCCCCATGGCTGAAAGGGCAAGCATGTTTAGTGGGACGGGGATTCGAACCCGCGACCCTCAGATTGCGAGTCGAGTGCCCTAACCACCTGGCCATGCCGGGCCTTATGTTTTAATAACCATGCATATATATTTTTGTAGATGTAATTCTTATCTAAAACCTTAAAAACAAGGTACTTGGTGTAATGCCGACAATTTATTAAGCTTAAGAGTAACTATCAAGCAGTATTAATTACTTTTGTTTAATTTATAGCTAGCATCTCTAAGCAAAAATCAATTTTCAGATCAAAGTAGTTTTTTTTTCCCGAGAAATGTTAAACACTTGCTTTTCAAGTAGATGTAACATTTTCTAACGCTTCTAAAAATTGATAATTTTGGTTAGTAAAGTAAAAAGCATCAGTATTTTCATTGTAAAGTTTATCTAGATTTAATATTCGTCCTCCAAACTCAGTTAGGAAGAAGAAGCGTTGTTGATGAACTATCAATAAAGGTGACTCTCGTCAACTTACACTAAAACCACAAAGAGAAAATTTCATGGGCAGTAGAAAATTGAGAGTCTAAAATTTAAAATCCTCCACCAATTCAGAACACCTTTACCATTCTCAAATGCTCTCTACCAACTAAGTTCCATCATCTCTTTGGATGGCTTTGACCCTTACAGCTTATCAAACAAAGTTTGTTCATTCGTAATAAAACATTCTCTTATGATCAAAGTGATATTGTTTGAGATAAACCCCTAGCGGCCGATTTAAAGTACCATAAAATAACATAAGACACTGATCAAAAAGTTTTAAGATAACATTTCCAACTTCGCATTTCCTTTTGAACAATCGGCAATAAACTGTGTTTTACAACTTCTGTTCAACAAGGATCCAAGCTCCATTAACGACTAATGGAAATAAAATGGTGTCTAATAGGATAAAAAAAATACTATCTAATACGACAACAATAATAATGTCTAATAAGACAACAACAATATTTTTTAATATGACAACAAATATTGTTTCTAATATGGCAACAACAATGGTTTCTAATACGACAACAATAATACTGCCTTATAAGACAAAAAGTGTCTATTGGGTTTGTTTTAGCGGAAAGCTACACAATAGCTTATATGCGCTCTGTATACCACAGGGAATCGAACTCTGGGCAACAGATGGAACAAAATATAATATTTATTATTTCAGAATTTTTTTGCAAATATAAACAAAAGACTGTCTACGCATAACCATTCCTAACCATTGCCAACAGCACACACCACCAGCTCTTGGGCTATTCTTATCTGACTATTAGTGGGATTTGACTGCGGCAACGGGCCAAGAACCCTGAATCATCGGGTTGGGACAACAACAACAACAAATATAGAGTCTTAGGCAACAGCAAACCCAAAATGAATTATATTAAATAAGAATTGTGTATTTTGTATGAATCATATTTGACGGTCCTTGTAAATCTTTACTTTTAACATACTAGAAATACTGATGCTGGAATAAGACGAGGTAAAGAAGAGATAAAATTCACATCCTTATCTATACTACAGTGGTAGCGTAACATAATGGATCATACGACTGCGCTGAACAATTCGCTTTAAACTGGCACCTATCACATGACAACCTGTCAAGAAAGTTGAAATAGATATAACGATAAAAACCTACGTGCGAATGTTCCAAAATTTAGTATTAAGTAAACCATTAATCAACCTTGCTATTCCTCATTCTCTTTATTTAACCATGAGTTTTTTTCCTTTGATTTAATTTATAGAGTTATCACACTGATTTGTCTGTGTCAGTGAAACACGTAAACATACTTACAGTAATTAAGTTTCCTCTTATCTAGATCAAGACTATGTGAATTATAAATGTTGAAATGTGTTCTAGAATTTCCAAATCAATTAAAACAGTAAAATAGATAAGTTCACCTATTAATTACTGCTTCATACGTAAAAGAGCTTTGATGTATGTTTAATTATGTTCGTCGTATTTCTTCAAATTACTGTGTCAAAAAAATATATATATATATAAAATACAGGGATTGTGTACTTGGAACCACAGTTTCACATATTTGAGATAGGAGTCTAAATAAATTCTGTAGTACACAACACAGTGACTTGGTATTACAGAAAAATTAGTAATTCTATAATCCAACAATTTGTTTGCATTAAGGTAGTAAGAAAGAGTAAGAGCCTTTTTATATAAACACTAATTATATTATTACAACTATCATTATTACCGAATGACTTCTATAGATGATTTAATAACAATACTCATCTCTTATATCACAACAATTTATACATTTATCGTAAACATCGTTTATAAATTATTCACCTTGTTAATATCTTTTTTTGTGTGTGTGGTATTAAATGCTTATAATATTTACTGTATGAAAATACAGAGTTTATATGTGTAATCGTTCGTAGATTTCCGTAAAGCGTTCACTACTGGCATATAACATTACACTATCTGGACATCTTACTTATAACGCATAGAAAAAACAGCTTCCATCTTTAAAAGCGCAGTCAAAAGTATTATTTTAATTGTGCGCCTGAAAAATGTTTCACTTCGAAGATTGTTTGTTCGATTTCCAATGTTAAAATGCACATAAATATTTAAATATGAAGCTTATTTTAAAAAAATAAAGTATTTCAAATTAGGTGACAGAATTCCTTATAAACTATTTTACTTTTATTTCAATTCTATGTCCAGTTTTTAAGAATATCTTAAAACGACAACTTTCAGTACATCATTATGATAAGTTCTTTTTTATCTCAATATTACTTGCTCCATTAAACTGCACGACATCTAACAAACAGACCGTTAAATGGTGGACATATTGGAGTCAGAAAGAAACACAATAGATAATAAAAGAGTAGAGGAACCAAAACGATGATGTAACGATTCAGAGATAATATGCTCAATCTATCGTACTGGGCAGTTCCGCTGAGAATGCGAGACCTCCATGAAAACAAAAGGTTAATTTTGTAACAGACTGAAAGCAAAACTTTGTTTTATGTTCTTTACTTTGATGCTTCTGTTAGTTGAAATGAATGTTTTTCTACTCTACGCAAGCAAGTAGTAATGAAATACTAAAATTTAACCAAAACAAAGATGTCTCTTCAACGACCATATGGGGAAAAGGAAAATGCACTTGTGTTTTTTATTACGTATTATTACTTAACGTTGAGTTTTTTTTTTCTTCAAAATTCTGATTTATTTATCATTATCAACGCTGATTCCTACAAAAAATACTTCTATAATTTTGTTTGTTTGTAATTAAGCACAAAGCTACACAATGGGCTATCTGTGCTCTGCCCACCATGGGTATCGAAACCCGGATTCTATCGTTGTAAGTCCGCAGACATACCGCTGTGCCACTGAGGTCATATTTCTTTAAAAAATTTATTGAACATAAACGTGATAATCATTAGCCTTGTCATAATTGATAACAGTTAACACTACAAAGTTTTAAAAGAATCTAATATGTCAGCCAGAAAATGGTTTCACAAGTCTCTATTGAAACTTTTAAAAACTGTGTATGCTTCCGTCAGTTCACTTCAACAGTCGTACTAACCTGAATATAAATCCAACGTAGTCATCATCAATTTCACTATCGACATAAAATGTTCCTTCGAAATCAACACCGCCAAAAGCGTAGAATCCTGGTAAGATAAAACCGGTGTAATTGGTTAGCCATATATGTGCATGCATGTTGTTGTGACTAAAAGCAAGCGTTGTGCTCTGTCAACTGGTTGCCGTTGCAAAAACCAATGTTTGAAAATATAGTATTAATTCTATCTATACTAGTAAATTTTCAAACGTTTCGCTTTCTATGTTGAGCTGACGTTTTTATTGTTTACTTTAAAAACGTTGATACGCGTGCAAATGAAAATAAATATTTATTAATGACAAACACAATTGATATCAAGTGTTAATCTACAGTTGTTTCTTGTTTGTTTGTTTTAGCGCAAAGCTACAAAATGCAATATGCACGTTCTCTCTACTGCGAGGAATCTAACCCCGGATTTATCTTCGTAAGTCCGTTTGTTTTTATGAAACATTGCCACAACCTCTACTTGGCGTGTAAGGAATTTTCATAAATACCATTCTTAAGAAAACAAAATTAAAAGTGAAAAACATATGCACATATATATAAATTTCAGAGTATCTTAAAAAACACCTAATTTGCATGATTTTCATCATTTGAATAAAAGTGTACGTGACATTTCGTGGTAAGCTACATATGAAACTTCTGAGTACACTTAAAATAATGTCTGAACAATTCCAGATATATTAAATCAAATATATAGTAAATAATACGTTCCCCGGTAAGTTAGCAGTAATTTGAAGGACTTACTACGCAAAAATTCGGGGTTCGATTTCCCCCCAGTTGAAACAGCACATAGCTTAATTAATGTGGCTTTGCGCTACGTCACACGCATACAAATACATTATAACACACCCTATTAGTGATAAGACTTACCAACAGCCAGACCTGGATCACTGTTCATTGTTTGTACAATCTCAGCTCCCTGAAATGTTATTAAATTTTCTTTTAATTCGACAACTAATATAAAAGTATGCAAGATTCCACAAATAAAAGTTTACCAGAAAATCAAAACTTTTTTTACTGCAACCCAGGAAGAGTAAGGTAATTACAGAAGTTTCCACGTAAATGACGTACTCATAATTGTTTTCACAACTTTTTACTAAGAAAGGACATCTATTAACAAAACCTGTAAAACTGTAAATATATTTTTAATTAGACCATTTTTCATTGCAAGCTTCTAAATATACCATTTTCTATAATAACAATAAAAATGAAAACTAGTGACCTTATTATTAAGTAAACGTTCTAAAAAAGAAAGAAAATTTATTGAAAGTTTTACCCAATTAAAATGGTTTTAAAATAATTATAACTGACAGAGTTTGGGTTTGAAATGTGCTTACGATTTGAGAAATATGACCAATTTCTTAGGCATTCGCGTTATACCGCTGTTTTTGTATAAGTGAGCAATGTCTGCTATACATTTGGTGAATATTAAAAACTTTACTTACCTACTCATAAATATAATAGTTTAGCATCGTTATACTGCACTTAATTTATGTTTATATAAATTAATTATGTATTAAGCTTTCTTCTACTTTAGGCCTAAATATTTATCAGGCTTATTGTATTATTTTTCTATATTGTAAAACTTAACATACGTTTAAAACGTTGATATTCATAACATATTTATATATATATACACACACACACATATGTTTCATTGATATGTTTAACTGATACTGAATTAACAGGAGCATTGCTCAGTTTTTTTTTGAATAAATGTTATGATGAGAACATCTTTGCTGGCGAAGTATGATTATAAACTGTTAAAAATTTTATTCACTCCTCTTCAAAGAAAAAAAATGCAATGGTCCGAATAAATAATACGTTATTAAAAATACAATAAGACTAACAAGTCTTATGACAGATATAACTAATTGTAATCACGCTTCACCAGCAAAGGAGTTCATACCATAACAATAGTTATTCTAATAAAGGACTTATATAAATAGCGTTCCGACCATTAATATGTTTGTTGTATCCCGGCCAACCTGATTGATCTCTGGTATTGAGCGAAACGTGTCGTCAGCAATGGATATAGCGGGCATTGTGTGGTTGAAATACTATTAAACGCTCTATTCGTCTAGGAAAATCCGTAAGCAACGAAATAGAGAATGTTGTTAAAAATGCAATAAATGTTTTATGAAAAATGTAATTAAATACTGGAAATATTTTAATAATGTTAATGTAACAGACGAGTTTATTTTATTGCACATGATTAAACACAGGGAATCTGATAATAAAAGCACTTTTTGCACTAACCTGAACATTAAATGTTCTTCATTTATCAACAAATTAATAATTTTATTATTATCTATTATTAACACACGTCAATATATTTTTTGTTAATTGCAGCATAATTGAAATTATCAAAACATTGTTCGTGTGTAAGTAAAATATAATCGTTTCATATTACTTTATTACAGATAATCCAGTGAAGATCTCTCATGTTACTTTATTATAGATAATCCAATGAGGATCTCTCATATTACTTTATTATAGATAATCCAGTGAGGATCTATCATATTACTTTATTATAGATAATCCAGTGAGGATCTATTATATTACTTTATTATAGATAATCCAGTGAGGATCTATCATATTACTTTATTATAGATAATCCAGTGAGGATCTATCATATTACTTTATTATAGATAATCCAGTGAGCGTCTATCATATTACTTTATTATAGATAATCCAGTGAGGGTCTATCATATTACTTTATTATAGATAATCCAGTCAGGATCTATCATATTACTTTATTATAGATAATCCAGTCAGGATCTATCATATTACTTTATCATAGATAATCCAGTCAGGATTTTTCATATTACTTTATTATAAATAATCCAGTGAGGATCTATCTGAGAATCACCCTCAGGATCCAGCACCACAGTATAGTACGCCCGGAAGTCAGTGACGTAAACCTTTCGGTTATCAGGACACACATCTTCATGATCTGGAACTTTGTCACCGTCATAATCATTTTTGCAGGCGTCACCTACACCCGTTCCTACAGAGAGCATTATAATCAACAGAAATATATAACTTGAAAAAAAGAATTAGAATATGTGATAACTTTTATAGAAACCTGCTAGCACCAAAATAAAACAAAACGTATGTTAATAACACTTTAATGAAGTCTAAACCATTATTTGACAAAACGTCGCTACGTGTGTCCACTTAACAGCTGGTAAACCGTTCGACAGATTGTCACCAAATCAGGCATAAACCTTTAGGGCCCCAGGAGAAATACTGGTATCGCATTTCGTATCTGACCCCCATGTCAACGCTTAGGGGCCCTGTTTTTTCCCCATGAGTTCAACAGGCACGCCAGCTTGTTGTTGGTGATGGCCAATCAAGGGACGTTAGTTAGTTAGATTGATCAAACGTTGGAACTGTTATGTTCTTGTATACATATATTAAATGTACCCATTCAAAGTCAATCTGTAACGAATGGGTGATATTAGAACATTAAACTGTACAGAAATGTTACACTGATACAAAAAATCTTTATCAAAGCATAGTTTAACATCTTTACAAAAAATCTTTATCAAAGCATGTTTTAACATCTTTACAATTTTGTACCTTCAAATAGGTTTTAGCCTTATTATTATTTTCATGCTGAAAATTTGTTTGTCCAAAAACAAAATTAAAGAGTAAATTTACTTTGTAATTAACAATAATCAATACAAAAAGCACTTTCTGTTGTCTATAATACTCGGTAGGCTTCGATTTAAAAGAAAAAATTATTACTTATTACTTTCACATCGGATATAATGTTAAAGATCACATGTTTCACACTATAACAAAGTTCTCTTATTTTTACACCGCATATAATGTTAAAAATCACAGGTTTCACACTATAACAAAATTATCTTATTTTCACACCGCATATAATGTTAAAGATCACAAGTTTCACACTGTAACAAAGTTCTCTTTTATTTTAAGTAAAAAAGTAAACTTGAAAGAAATGGAGGAATAATAAATAGTCTGTTAAATATTCGTTAAAACTTTACAAAATCCACTTTTCAACACTCTTCACACATTGCGTCAAATATAAGATGAAGAAAAATACAGTCATTGAAAGTTATAAACTATAACTGAATTACAAAAACTAATTTTTTATACAATTTCAGATTGCAAGTTTAATTTCTTATTGTTTTTTTTTATATCTTTATCTCACCCTTATCTGAAGATTGACATTATCTATATGTTTACCGTTCGTATCTCTCTGGTCTGGGTTGTAAACTAACACGCAGTTGTCAAGGTTGTCTGGAACTCCATCATTATCTTTGTCAAAATCACATCTATCACCTAAAAATAAACAAATTCGTTTCTAGCAAACTTGTCGTGATATTTGTATTTTCTCTACTGCCGGAGATTACAGAGATTAAAGAATAATAAGGCATTAATTACTGCATGAAGCAATATCTTTATCAAAATCAAATTAAAGATAATCCTACTTTAACAAGATTACGATGTATTAAGTGTAAACTTTATATAAACCTATTATAGACTTGGTTGTCAAAACAATTAAACTAACGCAAACCTATTAAATCAAACATGGCGCCTTAAGCATAGTTAATTATATTACTTCTAATAAATAAACTTTGGGAAAAGCATAAACTAAGCAAAATAAGAATAAGTGAAGACATGCAACAATTATAGTTTATAGAATTTACTTTTATTAATCAAAATCAAAATATGATTTTCAACTCTGATAATTTATCTATTCTCTCTGTTAGTATCTGTTTATTACTTGCAACCAGCCAGCTTATCTTTAGGCTTAACCGTTTATCTGCTATTATTTTCAAGTGAGAATATAACAAAAATCGCTTGTTTCAAATGAAGGTTTTATACGTACAAACAAAACAGTATATCAGAAGATTGTAGGAAGACTTGCTTTCGTTGAGACATAAATACCCCAATCTCTGCCTAGCTTTAAAAATTATTAGTACAAAACAGATCCCATTACACTTAAAAAAAAAGAGTTACGAAGATTTGTTTAACATAAAAGATATATCACAAATCTATACATTAACCGTAAGGTAAGTTGAATGAATTTTATTCAAAATGAGACTACTCAAACGTTATGGAGTTCATTATATGACTTTCGTCTGAATGTCCATAATACTCCGAAGGTGAGACTGTCGGACTGGTGAGGAAGCGATACCCAGCTCATGATAATTGTACATGACCACAATATTTGCCCAGTCTAGTTAATTCTTTCAAGATCCTCCATATATCAAGTGTTCAAAGCGTGAAAGCAATTCAAACAAAGTGACGAAGATGTATTATTATCATGTGTATATTGAATGTTCGTCATTGCTGTGATCCATTTCCGTCTAACAGTGTGGGTGCAGCGAGTTATATTATTAGTTAACTCTCAGCTATAATAAGACCAACTCTGTAAACAACGTTCGGGAACTTAATTAACAATTGTACATGTTCCAGTTGTCACAAAAATCGTAATGTCTGATTAAACCTTTTTTGTTTTTATTTTACCCTGTAAACACTGTTGAGGAACTTATTCAACAATTGTACATATTCCAACCATTACGATTTTGTGACATTGAATAAGTTCCCCAACAGTGTTTACAGGGTAAAATAGAAACAAAAAAGGTTTAATCAGATTTAATCAGACATTACGATTTTGTGACAGCTGGAATATGTACAATTGCTATTTTGTTTCTATTTTACCCTGTAAACACTGTTGGGGAACTTACTCAACAATTGTACATATTCCAGTTGTCACAAATATCGTAATGTTTGATTAAAGCTTTTTTATTTTTATTTTACCCTGTAAACACTGTTGGGGAACTTACTCAACAATTGTACATATTCCAGCTGTCACAAAATCGTAATGCTTGACTAAACCTTTTTTTTTTGTTTATATTTTACCTTGTAAACACTGTTGGGGAACTTATTCAACAATTGTACATATTCCAGCTGTCACAAAATCGTAATGCTTGACTAAACCTTTTTTTGTTTCTATTTTACCCTGTAAACACTGTTGGGGAACTTATTCAACAACTGTACATATTCCAGCTGTCACAAAATCGTAATGTCTGATTAAACCTTTTTTTGTTTCTATTTTACCCTGTAAACACTGTTTGGGAACTTACTCAACAATTGTACATATTCCAGCTGTCACAAAATCGTAATGCTTGACTAAACCTTTTTTTGTTTCTATTTTACCCTGTAAACACTGTTGGGTAACTTACTCAACAATTGTACATATTCCAGCTGTCACAAAATCGTAATGTCTGATTAAACCTTTTTCGTTTCTATTTTACCCTGTAAACACTGTTGGGGAACTTACTCAACAATTTTACATATTCCAGCTGTCACAAAATCGTAATGTCTGATTAAACCTTTTTTGTTTCTATTTAAAAAAAATTAAATGATTGTAACTTGTGAATCTTTTAGTATCCGAATTAAAACAGCAGATCATATTGTTTTTCAAAATATATTGAATTTGGTTTAAAATGAGAACTGAAGAAGAATCTTACCAACATGATGCATATTAAAGTCGCGCATCAAATACAAGTGTTGATAGTGTTATCATATTATCTAGATTCTAGATGGACGGTAATGACCACATGTAAAATGCACCTGAGGAAATAAGCTAAAAGGTAGAGTTTTTCTCCATGTGGTAGTGGAGGTTACCTCCAAAATATTTTATGCTCTAGAAGCTATACAATACATTTTGACAGAGTAATAGCAAGACCACAATGGAGTAGTATTGTTAAGTTGATTACTACTCAGCGCCATAAATTTCGAAGTATTTGTTTGTTTGTTTGTAATTATGCACAAAGCTACACAAAGACTATCTGTGTTCTGCCCACCACGGGTATCGAAACCCGGTTTCTAGCGTTGTAAATACGCAGACATACCGCTGTGCCTCTGGGGGAGGAAGTCAAATTTCGAAGTATTTTTACGTGTATGGTGGGTGGCTATCACGGATTCAGCCCAATTGTTCAAAGATATACTTTCCTACACTGATATGCCACGTGCAGATATGTTTTTATTTGATTCCCAAACTAATAGTAAGAAAAAAAAACCTTTTAAATTTTGGAGGGAATTAAAAACCTCGCACCCCTTCGTAGAAACGTTTTGAAAATTCTGTTACTACTTGGTGACATCTATCATCATCATCATCGCATAAAAATAGTTCAACTAATGGTTATTATATTTACACACACAATTCTTTCTCACACAAACATGTGAAAGTGTTCTTTATCACGAGAATAATTAACTATTATCACACAGTAGCATATTTTATATTATAGTAGCCCATAATAAGAAAAGTTTCACACAAAGGTGTTATTATCAACTTCCAGGAACAAAACTTAATAATTCTGCCATTTGGTGCGAGACCTTAACCTCCCCAGTGGCACAGCGGTATGTCTGCGGACTTACACCGATAGAAACCTGGTTTCGATACCCGTGGTTGGCAGAGCATTGTTTAGCTTCGTGCTTAACTTCAAACAAACAAATAAGCGAAACGTTAAATACACTATCAATGTACATACAAAACGCTTTGCATGCTCACCAAGTCCGTCTTCATCAGAGTCCAGCTGGTCACTGTTAGCATCATCTGGACAATTGTCGAGGTTGTCTTGGATCCCGTCGTAATCTCTGAAATATGTTAATTATAGACAAGTAATATGACTTAGTAAATGCGAAAAATTTACGTTGATAAAACCGAGAAATGTGAGATGCAGCAGATATAAATGAATAAAGTTTCCATGAATGTCTCTTTAAGAAAATAAATAAATAAATTACACGAAGCCTAAAATGATGATTGAAATTGCTCGCTCATATGATAGTTCATAAGTGACATACCTATCAATGTTGTTGTCACATGCATCTCCCACGAGATCCTTGTCTGCGTCAATCTACACCAAGAAAGAAAGAAGGAAAAACAATTTAGGCAAAGCGGTCACGTTTAACACCAGTTCCTAACACTGATGTTCCAAATTAAATACTAAATTTATAAATATGTGTGACGATTACGAAATAATTTACAGCGTGATGCACGTTCTCTTGCATATACAATGTTTCACTTTTATAAATGTTCCTTAACGAGACAACTGTCATTTCGGATTTGAGCAGAAGTAATGCACACAAGAGGGTTGTATGTGTGTTGTTATAGCAAAACCACATCGGGTTATCTGCTGTGTCCACCGAGGGAAATCAAACCCCTAATTTTAGCATTGTAAATCCGAAGGCATATCGCTGGTCCACCGGAGGACAGAGGGTTGTAAACACCAAAGAAATAAAACGTGCGATCGACTTATCACGGAAAACTATTTTTCCTCAAGATAATCGTATGTTGTATCTCTGTAAAGACGACTGTTGGCTATTTACACATATAATGAAAGTTTTAGCAATTACAGACGCTCTGAATTCATTTTATGAGTAGTTGGTGGAACATTCAGGAAAGAACATTTAAAGTTTAGCTGATATTGTAACGTTTGTGTGTCATGGATATCCATATCAACCATTTGGTTTCTTCATTCAGAAAAGAGCATTTTAAAGTTTAGATAATATTGTAATGTTTGGTGTCGTGAATATCCATATCAACCATTTGGTTTCTTAATTCAGAAAAGAGCATTTAAAGTTTAGCTAATATTGTAATGTTTAGTGTTGTGAGTATCCATATCAACCATTTGGTTTATTCATTCATAAAAGAACATTATATTTGTGTGTCATGGATATCCACACCAACTATTTGGTTTCTTCATTCAGAAAAGAGCATTTAAAATTTAGCTAATATTGTAATGTTTAGTATCGTGAGTATCTATATCAACCATTTGGTTTATTCACTCATAAAAGAACATTATATTTGTGTGTCATGGATATCCACACCAACCATTTGGTTTCTTAATTCTGAAAAGAACATTTAAAGTTTAGCTAATATTGTAATGTTTAGTGTCGTGAATATCCATATCAACCATTTGGTTTATTCATTCATAAAAGAACATTTAAAGTTTAGCTAATATTGTTATGTTTGTGTGTCATGAATATCCACACCAACCATTTGGTTTCTTCATTCTGAAAAGAAAAATAAAGTTTAGCTAATATTGTAATGTTTGAGTATCATGGATATCCATATTAACCACTTGGTTTCTTCATTCAGAAAATAATATTTCCAGTTTATCTTATGTTGTAATGCTTGTGTGACACACGATATCTTCACCAAACGTCTTATCTCTTCATTATTAGAATTTTCTTACGTTTTATAGACCTTTGTATTCTGTAAAAACAGAGTAGTGTTTCTTAGGACATAAGCTCACAACTTGAAATAAAATATTTTTGAAAGTCAAACTATGTACATAAGGGTAAACAACTTGTTTTTAATGTCGAACAAGAAAGGTGCCAACACCACACTGTTGATGTTTAATATAAGAAGCATCAGTTTGTCTCACACTCTTAGTTACGTAAATCCTGCATACCTACGTTCCACCGAGATTGTGATGAGGAACTAAGCATGCCAACCCACTCTTTTTTTTTCTACTAAAATAATGTATCTTCCTCATGTTTCACACAATGCATACCGACAGTTTCAAAAGCAATTTCGTTGAGCCACCGAATAAATTTAACATTCCTTAATTGACAATTTTAGCGATAGTCTAGAGAAAAAATATAGTATGATTGGCTTGAAAGTCAAATCACTTCTCTTTAGACTTGTTTGTGAGTTGGATATCACAGTAGTTTTATTAATCCTCAAAATCAACGACTTGTTTATATATATATCGTTTACTACCTGTGGGGTCCACATACTGCATCACATTGAATAATCTTATGTTTTTACCTGTAAAAACGCTAGTGTAAAGAGCTGTCCCCCACAAAAAAAAAGAATGGGTGAAATCAACTATAATATTGTCATTTTTGTTTAATTTGTGTTGTGTGATTTGTATACTATTAGGGGCTCACAATGTGGTGAAAAGCCAACGTGAATCATATGGATCCTCCTATCGGTGATTCTAGGGTTAAGGTATTTAGTATACGAGGCATGGGTTAAACGGCCAGGTCAGAAACTGATCCTCCTATCGGTGATTCTAGGGTTAAGGTATTTAGTATGCGAGGCATGGGTTAAACGGCCAGGTCAGAAACTGATCCTCCTATCGGTGATTCTAGGGTTAAGGTATTTAGTATACGAGGCATGGGTTAAACGGCCAGGTCAGAAACTGATCCTCCTATCGGTGATTCTAGGGTTAAGGTATTTAGTATGCGAGGCATGGGTTAAACGGCCAGGTCAGAAACTCCAAGGTTTACTAATTTGTTAATGTTAATTAGAGAAAGGGCAAACAGACACCAGCATCTACCGCCTAGACGGCTATTTTTAACAGAATGTCAGGATTGGCTGCCACTTTTATAATTAGCCCAGAGTTCAAAGTGCAAAACTCGCTCAGAGGCACATGCGGGCTCGATCCTTGGACTTTCGATCCGTAGCAGACAACGATAGCCTATAGACCTTACCTGGACCATGTTTCTTCTAGTTAGACTTGAGAATTAGTTATCAGTTCTATACTTTTTAATGATGAAGTCTCTATGATGATTGCACTGTCATTTTAAATATAATATTATAGTACAAGGTCACCGAAGTAACAAGTATTTCTTTATTATACGGCTAAAACAACAACATTAGTTTATTTTAATTTAACAAATGTTTAAATACTTTAATCATTGCCTTGGTATTTGTAAGGTTACTAGAACTGGCGAAGAAAACGTCCACGTTATAATAAAGAAAGACTTCTTTTAAGAAAATGTAGTATCAACCTAAAAACGATTGAGCGAAAAAAACCAAAATTCTACTTTTGCTCAAACTGCAAGTAATATCTCATAAACACAGCAAAATAAATCACATTGTATGATTTTAATCATGTACTGTAAAACTGAATTTATATTCAGCTTAGCTCTTAATTCACCACATCTCATTCTGTTCAGTGTAAATATGTGATGATTCTTAGGTGAATTAGAAGCCAAACTGAATGTAATTTCGCGTTTACAGATTATTTCAGATTATTTTAGTTCTCGCCATAATAAGAGATGTTTATAAGTTATTTGATGGATTGTTAAGACAGAGTATTCATGAGGACCTGAAGACGAAAGGCGTAAGACTTTCGAAACGTCGTCCTCTACACTTGTGTCTCTACAACAGGCAGATGCGGTCCATTCTACAAAGTTTCAGATGTTGATAAAGTTTAAGAGTGTATATATACATATATATATATATATATATATACAGCGTCTGAACCACAACTGTTGTATCATAGTCAATTTAATGAGCCATGGCATTGGGCTAAAAGCGTCGTGGCACTTAATATAGCAGATGTAGTGTGGTTGACATATTGTTATACATTTTTCTTCACTTTCACACTTAAGTTCTTAGAATCCCCTGGTGGTGGTCGCTAGCTGCAAACTATTAGTCCAGCGTTCGCTACTGCACATGGCGTACTTATTACCTTTTGGAGTCGTTTTTCTTAGCAGCAAATAATGGATACAGATTACTTTGAAATATATTTTAGTGTGTACACTGAACATTTCTCTTCACATTTATACCGCGACGAAAAAAGAATACTTGTGCCTTTTACTTTTGAACAAAGAATAGAATAATGAAATGTTTTGAACTTTTCTGGAAAACTTCTAGAATCAAAAATATACAAAGTTGGTGCGAGTTGCATATTTTTCAGGATCAAGCAAAATGTTTAGCATTCTTAATTCTGGAGAGGAGTACTAAGCATGTATATAGTTTACGCATAATCAGTAAACTATAATAGTTGTATTTAATTACAAGTTACAGCTTTTATAGTAGGTAATGTTAATGTTATTGTAAAAGTTGTAACTTGTAATAAAATAATACGTAATCAGTAAATAAACTCAAAACGAGGCCACAATAGTATTGCGTCTTCCTTTCCCTCCTTTTTTTTTGTTTAGGATAAAAACTATCTTTTTGTTTAATTGCCTTTTATTTGACAATAAAACCAGTATCTTAACCAACCACAAAACTGATGTAATGGCAAGGAATATCGCCAGATCAGACAGATCGATAATCAAGAACGTCTAGAAGTTTTAGTCAAACAGTAGTTCTCGGTGGGTTATGGTGTGAGCTTTACTATCTAACATGAAGTAATTAGTTTTGGTTTTTCCAAACACAAGAAGACAAGGTGATGAAAACCCGAATAGGCGTGTACCAAATTAATGTTACAGTTAATCTTTTCGGGTAATCGTATAACAAAATGGTTTATTTAAGGTCTCCGTTGTAGTTCGAAACGGATAAAAAATTAAGAGCACAAAGTTGTTTGTGTATTTTGTTATTACATGTTATCCAATTTAGTTTCATCAATGTTTCTTATATGACGCTTTTGTTCCTTGAAAGATATAACATATAAGTACATTAAGAAACAGAAGGTATGAACTTGGCGCTACCAGTCCTTCAACTACCCTCTGTCTGTTTTCTCATTCACGCAAAACTTTGTTACTTCTAAAATATTAACTAGTTAAAACAAAATTGCTCGAGTCACATAAACTTTAAACTTTTTGGGGGGGGGGGAAATTCACGTTTTGTTTCTAAGGGTTGAGCTTTTAGGTATTTATTATTAAATGCCTTGGTGAAGTCACTTGAGAAAACAGCGTCATTACTTGACGGTGACTTAGATTAAAATGAAAACCTTTATGTATTTTAAACACTGTTATCACTATGACTGTTCTTTAGATTTAAATATTTTCTCATAAAACAACAACATTCACGACTTTACATTTATTACGTTTTGAGAAGTATTAGCTACCTAAGACATTAAATCAACCGACTGTAAATTTTGATATACTGATCTTATATAACTATGTTAAAGTAAACTGAATTATTTCTGCCTGCTTTATTCAGTTCTTTATAAAGTTCTATATCCTTGAAAAGCATGTCCTTATGGAATGCCATATACAATATTAAGTCGTTGAAAAATTAGTTAAAAGTTGGCATATTTCTCAAAAGTGCAATAAACATAAAACTACGAAACAGCTATCTATATATATGTAGATATAGATATATACAATTTTGAAATGGATTTCAAGGAAGGAAATGTTAAAGCCTTACTTGCAGAGGGTTGATAACAAAAGGGCACGAAACAGCTATCTATATATATGTAGATATAGATATATACAATTTTGAAATGGATTTCAAGGAAGGAAATGTTAAAGCCTTACTTGCAGAGGGTTGATAACAAAAGGGCAGTTGTCACAAACGTTTCCAATGTTGTCTCCATCTGTGTCGTTCTGGTCGTGGTTAGCCACGAAAGGGCAGTTGTCCAGGGAATTGGAGACACCTGGAGGATCACAACATGACTAGTAATCATAAAACTGGTAAGTTTATCATTCAATTTTGTTATCGTGAAGAGCAATAACAAAGAGAAACAAGGAAGTCTCGAGAGGATCAATAAGAAAAACAGTATATAAGTTTTATGTTAAGAATCTGAATCTGTTTGCCAGTCGACTTCAACACAAATTTTGCTGTGATGTTATATGCAACAGGTCAGTGTCTGCTGGATTCACTCTCATTTTCCTCCTACATAACAGGTAGCTAACTTCTTATCTTACGACACGTGAGGAATTCATATATACATATTACAGAGCAATTTAATTGTAATATCAAGGTTGCTCACAGACGCTATCAATGTTATTACCAAAGACAATATGCAATTAATGACAGTCACCATCAAGTTTATCAACAGACAATACCAAGGTTGCTCACAGACGCTGTCAAGATTACTCAAAGACAATAATGCAACTAATGACAGTCACCATCAAGGTTATCAACAGACAATATCAAGGTTGCTCACAGATGCTATCAATGTTATTACCAAAGACAATATGCAATTAATGACAGTCACCATCAAGTTTATCAACAGACAATACCAAGGTTACTCACAGAGCAGTAACAGTGTTGTTCATTTTAATATCAAAGTTACCCACAGGGAGTATCAAGGTTGCTCAATAACGGTACTAAGCTTAGTTACAAACAATATCAAGATTGCTCAATAATGGTACTAAATTTAGTTGCATGCAATATCAAGGTCACTCATAGCATTATCAACATTACTTACAGTCAGTATGAACTCAAGGACAGCATTAAGGCTACTCACAGATAATGTCAAAGTTTGCCCAGATAGGAATTTGCAGAATGGAAAGTTTTGTTTTAGTTACTGATTAAACAAGGTCGGGTTTAGTTGTTTGTACCGGTACAAAATGTGTTCAGAGATATGGCACAGCTTTATCATAATATGTGGTTATAAGCATAAAAACGGTTTGAAGAATACTAAACTAGTGTTAAAGGAATTTGGAATTTTGTGTCCTCAAAATAGTTTTAAGTTAAGCAAAAACAAAAACTTAGGATCATTGGAGAGTCGTAAGCTATTTTAAGCCAGCTGGAGCTTCTCAGTAAATTTTTACCCGTTAAACAAACAAACAGCAAGATCTGTGTAATGCCTAAGAACAGACTCCCGTAATGAAACTATTGAACCGTATTTAACACAAGCCTCTCCAAGCTGACTGTGTCCTTTGCATATTCCATTTGTTCAAAGGTATGACATAAGCTTTTCCAGAATGGCCTTGTCCCTAGTGTATTTTATCTATTCAAGAGCAATCGTCTGGTCAAGTAGTAATTAAGCTTTTAAAGTCAGGGATCCTCAATATATTTGACCTATTCCAGAACGATCCTCCAACAAAGACAGGATTAAAATGTTTGTAAATTAACGTTCTACCAAACACATAAATCCTCAAGTGTAACTTCCAGTAAAGAAAGTGAAGTGTCCAAGTTAATCCTCTCACAACCCATTGAATCGTAAGGTTATCAATTTCGAGTTTAAAGATAATTTGCTCACTCAAAAGAGAACATCCCGCTTCCTGGGTAATGAAAAGATCAAAGTGTGTTGATTTTTTAAATTGAGTGTCACCAGTTAGAATGGAAGTAAATTTTAATTTTTGTTTGTGTTTTCGAATAATACATTTATAAGTATAAAAACTCTATTACAATCAAAATCATCATGGGACGGAAGTCTGTGTGGGTGTCCTTTCATAACTGACGAACAGCTGAACCGATTGTCACCAAACCTAGCATCTACCCTTAAGCCCCCCCACCCCCCGGGTAGTGAATTAGGAGAATCAGCGTTCGGGTCTTATATGTTTTCCCCGTGCGTCATGTGTAAAAATCTATTATGTACAAAATGCTTCCTATAACACATACACAATAAAGATTTAGTGAATCAAATTCGATGACGAGAAACCCACTTTGAGACTAATAATGCAAAGAGGTCACATGACCGGATACTGTTGCACGACTTAGAAGATATATCTTGGCACCCCAGGGTGTTGGTTTAGAATAGGGTTGTTTGGTCACAAGTGAATAGACACCTAATTTTTCGTCATTTAACTGATTTATGCTAACTAATTTGTGTTCACGGAGTACTATAT